CGTCTGGGTCAGCGGGTATAATGCAATTCTGCCGAGGGAAATTAGTCCTGTATGAAGTCATGAAGGATACACAAAGCTTTAACTCAGCAGAGCTCCTAACTTAATTTTGAGTGACTAGGCAGAGATCCCTAGACCAGAAACACTAGGCATCTACTAAAACACCATCCTTATCACTATTACATAAAACACATTTCTACATATATCCCTGCAACGTTACATTCTGAATACGGCACTGCCATCGTTTACACACCGTAAAAGAAACACGGTTTAGTATGGGGGTCATCTAATGCAACAGGCTCAGGGGACTGTCTTCTCCTAGTTATGTATTCTCACCTCATAACCAAGCCCAGATCAGTCCCCGATGGATGGTTATACGATCACATATCGTATCTCGCTGGCCTTTTTGAACGCATCCTCTGGGCAGTGGGTGAACCATAGAGCACAGCGGCACAGCCACATGATGGAGAGGCAAAGATTTGCTGTGGGTTCACCCCGGCCAGCAGATAAGCACCCACACAGCTCTTGTTCATTGTCCCCGGCGTGATGGGGGGACAGAACAGGCTGAAAAAATGGGGGGGGGGGAAAAAAAATCGTGGGTTGACATAAACGCAGTTTAATGAGTGAAGGAAAGAGGGAAAAAAAGAAACCAAACCCAAGTGATGCTCACCACCTCCCACCAGCAGCCTGACGCCTGGCCCGTCTCAGAGCAACGGCCACCTTGGAGAACAAGCAGAATGATTACTTAGGAAGAAGTGAGAAGAAGCAAAAAAATCTGAAGGAACGTCTAAGCCCGATCCTTTCCAAGCACTATGGCAGGAAAGAGGAGCTCTCTTCATTTGCAGTTCATTTAAATGATAAGGAGAGGAATTAAGATTTCGAGTACCATCTTGCAGACGAGTCAGAAAAGAGATCACCTGAACTTTGAGCCGTCTGAAGCCATCACAAGACAGAGACTTCTTCTCCCGCAAGAACACAACCGCATGGGAACAGAAAAACAGTTTAATAATCTGAGCTCCTACATTTCTAACTCATTTACTGAGATGATATTCATATAATCTTGCTCCACCTAATCCTCCTAGAAAGCTATCGAAAGACTATGCCCGGCAGATGGAAGCTGTGTTACAGAAGAGGGTGAAACAACCGTACTCAGAGCCCTGATCTTATGAGTGGCCCTTTGCTATTAAGAAAAGAGGGAATTACCATCAGTGAGGCACCAGATGCTAGCAGAGCAGAGTGCTAGGAACACATAGGCGTTGGTTTTTCCCTTTTGCTAAGCTTGATAATTCATGCGGTTACGAATTTTTTCAGGGTTGTATTTTTATGTATATAAAATGTCTGTAGTGAAGCCTTTTTAGTGCAAGGGAATCTTTCTAAAGGCACAGACGGCACTTTGGTGTCTACTCCCTGTGGAAAGTCAACTTGAATAGATTTATAAATTATGCCCCAATCTTATTATATTTATATAAACCCACCCTGCTTACTGTATCCACAAGACAAATTAGAGGAACTATATTTTATTTTGCAAGTGTGCTGGACGCTATACTCGATATGCTGCCAATTACACAAGGAATCGCCACGCTCGGCTGCGCAAGGGGAGCACCACTCTGAAGCACTGTCATTCCAAGCTCGGGGCTTTTTTTTTTTTTTTTAAAAAAAAAGCATCCTAGATTCCTGTCCTACAGGCAAAAAGACCTCTTTCATACCCAATGGTCTATTAAAAGACTTATGCCGAGAGCTCAATTCCCTCCCGATGGCGCTTAAGCCAGGCCCCCCAGACTCCAACGGCACTGAGCCATCTCCAGGGTGGGGAGGAATAAACACCCCACCTCAAAGTCGTGGGTGCCCATGAACTCACGTCAGCGACTTTTACTTGAGATGCTTCTGAACTGCTCCCGATTTTGCTTAAATGGACAAGGAGCCCCCCCGGGGTGGCAGGGCCGTGAGGCTCTCCTGAGCTCGGGCGAACCCGCGGTGGCAATACCCATTCTGGGGACATTTCTGGATCCATCCCATTTAGGTGGGATGCAGGAGCGTCAATGGGTCTATCATAATAAGCTCCCGCAGTGTACCTCAGGTAATAGAATTAGAAAATTAACATAAAGTGTTCCCTTCAGATGTACCGATTGCCCAATACTCTTTGAAGTGAAGAAAGCTTAGCGTCCATTTCACTGTTTTTTAAACATCATTAAACTAAAAATGTATTAAATGTAAACACCTCTAACATCTTTCAAACAGCGAATGAAATGCAGTTGATTAGTTCACATTTTTCAAAGGTAATTACATGGTATTTTCCATTTTTGTCACGCACAGCAGGGGCTTCAGGTACAAGATACGCAGTAAAACTCGAACGTTAGACCTAAGACTGTGCAGAGCCAGCAGCAACAACTTTGTCGGGACCAAAATAAGCCCATAATTACCAGAAGCTTGGTACGAGTGGAAGTCAACTGCCAAATTAATTGGTCCTCCGAAGCTGAGCCTGATGGGTGGGCAGTGGTCAGCACCAAACAGAGCGTTATCTCATAAAGCCAGTAAAAGTGTGCTAGAACAGGATTAAACTGAAGGGCCAGGGGTGGCAATTTCATCCACTGTCAGATGTCCAAATTTGGGGATTTCTGGATTGTTTTTTAAAGCAGTCAGTACATGCTACTTGTTGCTTTGGGTTTACCTGATAATGCGAAACAATTTTTTTTGACTATTTTCAGGGAAAAATAAAACTCAACCAAAACCAAAACCAGACGAAGGGAATCAATCGCATGTATTTTTAATAAAGGTTACATTAGAGTTTTGAACTACATACTTATACTACACCGTCAGTCCCACAGTTTGGAGCTTATTAAAGACATCTAAATCTAGAAAGAAACAGGGGGTGGGAAATCATGTAAAATCATATAAATCCTGTAGGATAGCAACGAGCTGAATGAAGTATACTTAATTTTCTCATTCACACATGAGGATGTAAAGAAGCTTGTTTGTATCTGAAGTGCAAATAAGCTTTAAATTATCTTCAGAAATTATTGAGGCTGGAGTTCCAGCTAAAGAAAAAATGGGTAAAGAAGAAAACTAGAGAAATTTAATTGTAATCAAAGGAACAGCACCTGAAGTCAATACCTAAGAAGAGATGGCAACGTGGAGACAGGTTGGATGTATTTTCCTAATACAAAACACTTGCTAACAACCTGTTCCAAAATCAAATAAACATGTAAAAGATTTCCATAAAATTCAGAGCCTTTGGAGCTCTAAAAGACTGCAGCAGCTCAGACCAAGATATGGAATGGCAAAGAAATGGGGAAAGAAATGCAAGCGGAGACCAGCTGTTTGAGACCCCTTGGTTGTTAGGAAGGATTCCTGGAAAATAAGGATGTCAAAGCAGGATAAGGAGGAATCTTGTTGTCAGGAAACTGGTGGGATTCTTAAATAGTGGGGGTTAAACCCAGCACGTGTGGAAGCAGAGTCAGGCTCTGGTACCTGGATGGTATAGGAGAGATGAGAGGAGATGGAGGCACGACAGATGCAAAATTAAAATTCCTGTCTTTACCGTGAAGTTCAACTTGGTGTGCTCAGAGATAGGAAAAGAGAGGGCAGACACAAGGAGACTTTCCAGTAAGATCAGAGAGACTGGAAAGAAAGATGATGCTTTGGAAAGACTGGAGGAGATGATGTAGTAAAATTGGAAACATCGCTACATCCCCTTTAGGTGTTTTCTTCCATTTGCTACATACTCAAGCAACCTACTACCCCTTCCCTTTTGCACGACTTTTCCTGGTTTGGTTTAGCCTAATGATTTTGTTATCATATCTCACTGGGAATTCAAAATATCTCAATTTCTTAACTTCTAAAATTTGAAGCTGTCCTAAAGAGCTTTACTTTATATCACTCTCCTCATATATGATGTCCTGGCCCGAACCAAAATATGATTGATATTTGGGTACAACGCTGATTTTCACAGTAAATGAATCCACCAAAAATCCACCTCTGAAAAATACATGATCTCCTCAAGCATTACATCGTCCTCAAGCCTAGGTCCTGTTTATTGGGTGGTTAAAATATTGAGTGATCATCCCTGCAACCCCGGGTAGGTAGACGAGGGGCACAGGGCAGGGCGAATCAGGAACACGTCTACACGGAAGTTGTTCAGTGTGTGAAAAAACAGTTACAGCCTGAAACCTACCATCATTTAAATCAAATATGCTGAAAGGGCAGTTCACTGCAGCGACCAATGTGTGACAACAGGTATTTCTAGAGTAAAACCACTGCAAGGAAGTGAAGGCCTTCCCTATATTTATGTTTAACTCAATGCAAAAAATATTGGATGTCACAGGCAGGTAAATGATCAATTTTAATTCGAACAACTGAGATATTTTCTCTGAGACAGGGCGGTCTATCCCAGCTGAAGTGAGAAACTCTGAGGCTCTTTTATTGTTTGCCTTGGCTCCATCACACTGTTGCAAATGTCTCTTCCCATTACTCACCGACATACAAGCAAAATCCATTTGTTTTCATTATCCAGGCGTTATACATTAACTTCCCACCTACTGTATTGCAAAGGAAAACAACTCAGATCCCGCCAGCTTTCAGTGCGCCGAATTTCATCGAGAAACAGATTAGCTCACGTCGTGACATCATACAGACTGAGCACACAGCCAACGTTCACCGCTGCACCTCCCCTTTCAACCAGGCAATATACCCAGCACACAAGCCAGGGGCTGGCCATAAGCTCTTAACATGTAACTTTGTCTCAAATTATCTGGTTGCTTCAATAGCAGCTAAAATATTTTTTTAAAACCTGGTTGAAATTTCTGGTGCATTTTGCAGATCTTGTTCATCTTACGGGGGGCGAGCAGAATGCCGTGGGGAACCAAAGGCGCGGCAGTCTGCCCATCCCGGCTTCAGGTGCCCTTGTAAGAAAATCACACAGCCCCACTGGAACTGGGCCCCTTAGAAACAATAGTTTCTGATTTACCGGATTTTAGTTTGTTACTGAATTAAAAAAAATGCATTACCTTCTTCCTTTCTTTTCTTCGCTTCTTCTTCGCTTCTCTCTTTAGCCTTTAATGCTTCATCTGCTTTAGCTTAAAAAAAAAGGAATACAACAAATGTTATAATTAGTTTATTTATCTTGCCAATCAACATATCCTGGGGTTTGAACCCAACTTCAGACTCCTTTTTGTAGGTCCCATGGCGATGCTGGTGTGCGTGAAAGAACAGAATTTGGTTCTTAATGTACTTTCTTTAAAGATATTACTAGAGGTAGGACAACAGCTTAAATGGTGAAAACTGGCATGCAGTATCAGTTCAATACAATTCTCTGCATTCATTTGCTTGTTAAGTAAAACTTTTGAGAGGTTTTTTTTCCTTAAACACAAATCTCCCCACCCTACTTGCCCCCAAACTGAACTAGAAGGAAACAAATGCAGTGCATTTAAAAAAAGATTTGCTACCATAGTGAGTAATCCATAAGAACTCTTTGGAGGATAAAGCAGAAACGAAACACTATTTTCAGGGATGCGGAGTTGCAGATAGCATTTAAAATCAGAGTCAACTACCTATTACTTAGTATTAAGTTAGGTAGTATACAATTTTCACTGCAAATCACAGCAGCAGTACTTTATTCACGTTATGATAGTGTTCTTTAAAAAGAATCTTTTTCCCTCTAGAAGCCTCTTCCCTTATTACTTAATTATCTACTAGTTGCTCAACTGCAGGGGTTTTCAAACACTTTACTACAGATGTTAAAGAAGATTAAAAATATACAGCACAGTAACAAGGGACTATCAATATACTCTGTAAATTAATTAAATTTCTGTTCTAGCACATCATTTATTCCAAAGCATTAATGTCTCAAAGGAGCCATTCTCTTTTATTGCCATCTCACTGCCTGATGAGTGAACTAAGTGAGAATAAGTCTCTAATAGCATTATACTTGATGAAATATTAAGTTTTAAAAAGTATCACCATGTCAAAAGGAAAAGAACCAAAAAGAAACAGAATTTAGAATTTAAACCAGGCCTTCGTATGTAATAAAATCACCGTAAACTGTGGCACAAATAGCAAAGGCTCATTCGGTTTTGCAAATAATTAGTCCTACCACCTACTGAATCAACCAATAATTTATGAAAACAAAATCCAGTTCAGGAGTGGGGTGTGAAGGGGTCTTTCCGACTCCGGTGTCTTCTTACAGCCAGTAGCTACACCTTCTTAAAATATACAGCTCAAAGAGCAGTGTTACAAAATGAGAGAAGTAATTACATAGACATCTGTTCCCGTTTACATGCTTTTATACATATTTAGACTACACTTAAAGTCATGAAATATTAAAACTTTTCTGCCAGTGAAGATCATTACAAGATTCTATTAAATTAGATAATAAAAACAAACTGCTAGTCATTCTAAAGTCTTCTACTTCATTTACACTTTATTCTCTCTGGTAAAAGGACAAGGATAATAGAAATTCCATTTAAATTCAATTTTGGTTATATGTGTAATTGTAGATATACCCCTTGAGTCATGTAAAATGCTCAGCTTATGTTTCTTTCAAATTATCCCGCTCAGATTCACATTCTACTCCTTACAACTGTCTTCAATATGTATTAGCAGAGCTCATTAGGCTGAAATTTAATAATGCAAACATCAGGTGGATTTCAAGAACCTCCATTATCAACACAAGATGGATTGCTTATATAGCTCTTGGGCCAACTGGGCACAATTTAGATTCAATAAACTACCATGCCTAAATTTGATTTATCTATTCCACTATGCTACTTTGTTTTTTCTCACCGATTTGTTGCTGCACAGGAACAATTCATTGGATATCTCAATGGTTATTCAAGGCAAAAAAATATTAAAACAGAGAGGAAAGATGTTGCCTGTGTGTGCCTAAATTTCTATTTTGTATTTGTTAACTTTAAATTGCTGATTTCCAGGCCTTGTAACTATAGTTAAAATTTCTGCTAGCTGAAACTGAGTTGTCCTTTCAAGTTCTGGATAATTATATGGACAATGTAGCAATTTAGGAAGTATCATGAGGACAATTCTCTACACAAAATTTCTCATTAACAGCAATTTAACTTACCCCATAAGTCTACAGAGCTGTCAGTCTCTGAGGTTATAGGGCACCGTCCGTTATGACCAACAGAAGTCACTGAGGCCATGTGTTGCTTTAAGAATTTAATGCTAACAATTCTCTTAAAGTATTTTGAATTCTCCGTCATTATTCACTGGCAAAGTGTTATTAAAACCTGGGATTTGGTTTGATCAAATCGAGTTGTGATTAAACAACGTTAACAGATCCTTACATGTTCCAAGGGTAATACACCCTCACTGTTCTGAGGATCACTATGCCCTTACCCCGTTTTTCAGGGTGTGCAAGAACACATGCTGGCCACTTCCACTCTGAAGCACTTAAAAGCCCTGATATTCGGAAGAGAAATCCGCTTTCCTACAATGCACCTTCCTTAAGCTGGAGGAGGACAGACAGCTGCTTATTACCCCCAGCAGATCAAAGAAGTCACTTCAGCAAAAGTCTGGTTTTAATTGATCCAGGTAGTTGGAGTGCTGAGATTGCTCCTGAAACTGGGCTTCCTGCATGGATAAACAGCTAGCATGACATAAGCCTGACTGCTTACAAAGCTTTCTAAAATATAAAATAAATAAATAAAGAGGTGCTCGAGCTTGCAGCATTTAAGAGCTCATCCAACCCCAGATAAAATTACAATTCTATTGATTTTTTTTTTTTTTCTCTGAAGGATGGGAAAATGACACATGGAAGATGGTTGAGATGTTTACCTACACTAAAATAATGAAGTTGTGAAACGCAGATATTTGCTGGTAGCTAGTGGTCTATTAATACAGGTATAACAGGAGGAAAGAGAATTTTAGCCATTTCCAGGTGTCTCCTACAGAAGTACTTGTTCCAGCCCGGCCGGGATCAGCGGCTCGTTGTGCTGGATGCAGCACAAAGGAAGAAGAAATAAATCCTAGCTCTGCAGTAAGAATAAACTATTAGCAAAGAGTATGGACATGCTACTCAGACGAATAAACACGATGAAGAAGCGGAACTATACTGCTAAGTTACAACAAAGGCACTAACGTTTAATTAAAACCAAGCTACCTTAAGTACATTATCTGTTATTAAAAAAAAAAAAATCCCAAACTAAACCCAAAACACCCTTGATGTTTCCAGACACATTAATATCCTATATCTGAATATGCTAATGTGTTTTGAAACTCAGACTAGCTCTTTGAGCAGCTTCATTACACCTCGACGACCAGCCCAAGCTGGCAAACCCACGGGGCATCACAGCCCTTTCTGAAGGAGCGGAGGCAACTGGGTTTGGGTTCTGGGGGGCAGAGGAGGCTGCAGAGAGATCCCTAATGGAAATGCAGGTTGCCTGCCAGGCCTGTAGCTTCGGTTCCTGTTGTATTACAATTATTATGTACAGATCAACAACTGCAGATCAATGAACGGTAGGTAATTCCCCAGGGCCACGACTGGAGGGATGAACCAGGCCCACTCCTTTGCCTTGCTTTAACCCGTTCAATGCAGAGCTGCAATGTCAGCTGATCTTTGGGTTACGTTCAAAAGTGGGAAGAAACAAAAGCAAAAGAAAGGAAAAAGGAAAGAAAAAGGAGAAAAGTGGATGATTTTGTACACTTTCCATTTTGGGCAACGGAGAGGGTAGGTGTTTTCATGTCTCCTTGATACTATCTACAGGCTGACTCTAAAATTTAGGAAATCATAGGATCACAGACTGGTTTGGGTGGGAAGGGACCTTAAAGCCCCCCCAGTGCCCCCCCCTGCCCCGGGCAGGGCCCCCTTCCCCCAGCCCAGGGGGCTCCCAGCCCCGTCCAACCTGGCCTTGAACCCTTCCAGGGAGGGGGCAGCCACAGCTGCTCTGGGCACCCTGGGCCAGCGCCTCACCCCCCACACAGGGAACAATTTCTGCCTTAGATCTCATCTAAATCTGCCCTTTTTCAGTGCAAAACCGTCCCCCCTTGTCCCATCCCCACCCCCTGACCCAGAGTCCCTCCCCACCTCTCCTGTCCCCCCTTTAAGCCCTGGGAGGCCGCTCGAAGGGCTCCCCGGAGCCTTCTCTTCTCCAGGCTGAACCCCCCCAACTCTCTCAGCCCGGCCTCCCAGGGGAGCTGCTCCAGCCCCCCCAGTATCTCCGTGGCCTCCTCTGGCCCCGCTCGAGCAGCTCCGTGTCCTTCTGCTGTTGGGGGCCCCCGAGCTGGCCCCAGCACTGCAGGGGGGTCTCCCCAGAGCGGAGCAGAGGGGGAGAATCCCCTCCCTGGCCCTGCTGCCCCCCCTGCTCTGGCTGCAGCCCAGGGCACGGGTGGGTTCTGGGCTGCGAGCGCACGGGGCTGGGTCATATTTAGCTTATTTGACATTTAACAGTTACACTACTACTTGGTGCCTTCTCTCTTCCAAACAACCATCTTATGGCATTATCTAATTTGTGTGCTTCATTCAAAGCCTGCCGAAATGAACCACAATTCTCTCATAAATATTTCACTCCACAGTTTGCATAAATAGTCATACAAATAGTCACACTGATAACTGATAATGAGAAAACAAAAATACCCTACGTGGTGCAGCACTTTATTATAGTGACAGCATGGGAGACTCCTGGATGCCCAGGAAGCATCAGGGAATCCACAGAAGATCCTGACGTTCAATTACAGTTTTGTTGTCTAATATCAAGTTCCACTGCACCATACGTGGCTTTGAAGAAGCGCCTTGTTCAGCCAACTAAGATTAGGTCATCCCCAGAAACCATAGATACATTAAAGCCTGAGAAAAATTTGTCTAATCAAAAGCCCTTGGTACCATGATTAAAGAAAAAGGATGGTCACCAATGAGCCTGAAAATTTTCAAGGTGGAGCGAAAAACCTTTATGAAGAGGAGCAAAAGTACTTTTTCTACCCCCTTTTCAAAATGGAAACAATCATGCTTGTACAACAAAAATGGGATAAATCATTTTAAAAGGTCCAGCTTAATGACACTGCACAAAGGAAAAACCAAAATACCAGTGGCGAAATGCAAATGAATGTATTAACAATTTGAACAAGT